TTTATGTTTCTGCAGATGTTTTCTGACACTGGATTTGATCACAAATGCAGTTTACCACGAAATGATTTTCTTTTACCTCTGTTTAATACGGTGGCCCACAGGGGACATGCAGCAAATAAAAAAGGTTCTGCAAAACAAATAAACTTGCTGCAAATAAAAAGTAGTTGCTGCAAATAAAAAATAATTGCAGCGAATACAAAAAATATTTGTTGCAAATAAAAGCAGTTGCTGCAAATTAAGTGACAGGAAAGTATGTGCACGTATTGATGGGAAGAGGAGGACTCAGTATAGTTGTATCCAGGGCCCACTCACGAAATGCTTGGCCTAATCCTCAGTGACAGAAAACTTATTTGAGTTCGATGGAAACAATTATCTTCAAACCCGTGGAGTTGCATAGGGCATAAAAACAGCAGTGTCCTTTGCAAATATCTACAAGGCAGAGACTGAAACAAACCTAATCCAACATAGACATACCAATGAAAATGTTTCATTGATGACGTTTCCTTTCTTTGGGACTGTAACAGAAAAGACCCAACTTTTTCTTAAAGAAACTAACAAATCCCATCACAAAAATGAAGTCCACGGCCGAAATATGAAATAACGAAATAACTTTCCTTGATACAACAGTTTTCAAAGGAGAACATCTCACAGAGAAATCCATCTTCATTGGACATTAAATCCCACTATAAGCCAACTAAAACCTTTCAATATGTACACTTTACCTAGTTCTACCTACGAGGGTAAAAAGAAGTTTCATTAAAGGCGAAGAAATAAGATTGATTAGAAAAAACTCCTCAAAAAAAACATTTGAAGAGTGCCTTGTGAACTCGAAGCACACAAAATCCTAAACCGGATATAGAAAGGTCATTATCAGGGGTCAACCTTGATTCAAGACACTGATAGGGGCTAAAACAAAAACAAAAAAAATAAGGAGAGACTATTGCCTTTCATTACAACATATAACCCAACGGTACAAGACCTTAAAAAGACGTTGACGCAATAAAAGCGAATAAAGAAGGGAAAGCGAAATTTGTGACTGCAGCTGTGTTACTTTAAAACCACGAAACCATCTCATGCTTTCTATGCATGCCCCAACTTTTGAAAATAATATTTTCAATTTGCATCTGTAACTGAACGCTGTGAACTACGCGGCCTTTAAAAAGTCTTCTGGAAAGATTTAGCTCATAAGCCAGACAGTGACTAGAAAACGAAGCCACTAGCTTTAAAACAAGTTTCTCAGCAAAATTCCCAGGAGAGGAATGGGATAAAAAACAAAACAAAAACAACGACGAGCTGAACTAAAAGGATAACTATTACAAAGGGGACTCAGGAATGAAAAAAGGTTTAGCAGACTGCTTTGAAGGGGCTGGTCTCACTTGTCCGTTTTCATCAGCCAGCTCTAGGAACTCCCGCACCTGGAGCTGACTGATGCCTGGCCTTTCCAAAGCTTCCAGCAAGGCCTGTCCCTTTGCCGTTCTTTCGCCTGTCACCATCTGTGCCTTCTTCAGGAATAGCCGCCTTCTGCAAATAAGACCTGACTTGTTATCTTCATTGTCAGAATTGAGAGGTGGGATAACAGCTTTAGTAGGTACAGGGGAGATTTCTGATCGTTTTTTGAGATATTCTCCTTGTTCCTAATGTCATTGGGGAAACCAGACCTGATAGGTTTCTTCACTTCCTCATCTCTCTTTACCTATGAAAGATTGCAAGAAAAAGGTATGACAGAGAAAACAAAATTAAATAAGGTGACTTGACTGGATTTTTTAGGGGGGATACCTTCCAAGTTTAAGCATTAACTACATCAGCATGAGTAAAGATATGGGAAAAAGGCTACCACAACATTACTGTATTATATCAACATGAAAATTTCTTATTATCTAGGTTTTATTGCAAATGGAGTCGCCATGGCAACCTAATGAAACGAATATGTTTTTTATTTATTTTTGTGTTTCTCTGTACCAGGAGTGTTTTTAAGAAATGGCTTAAGGGAGTATGTACCTGCCATAATTGCTTCAATTATGGCAAAGTTTGAACAAATTCTGAGAGAGCATTTTGGAAATATTTTGAAACAAGTTTTAGAATCATAAAAACAGTGAAATAGCATGCTATATATCCACACAATTAGCTAATATGTTAAGAAAATGTTAAGCTTTCGAAGCAAGGTTTCATCTCATAATGATTTGATTCCATTGAAAACTGTGTACAAAAAAAAAGAGGGGAATTGCTCTGGGCGATCGCAAGTGAGAAGAATTTTATTAACCTGCATTCAGCTGCTTTTGTTACAGTTTTTGCACATAATTTGGTCCATGCCTACAAATTTCACATTATTCAAAAAACCACCTGACAAATTTTTTCATAGACTTACCAATCTCAAGGTCAATTGTTAATAAATACACCCTGCAAGTTTCAAGAACATTGAAAACAGTGAAGGCTTTTAAAAAGGGCCTCGAATATAACCAGCGTTGTCAGAAAGTTTTGAAGTAGACGATCACTGAGTTGTCAAAGTAAGCAGCCAGTCCAAGGATATTTTATTTAAAAAACGTCATCTGCAAAGAAATGCCAAGCAGAGTAGCTGGCCGATACTAACCAAGTAGGCGGCACTTTTCACCGGAAGCCGGCTACTTTTGACAACCGTGTATAACCAAATTTTCCCTTAGTGAGTGTCCTCATTATTCAGAGGCATTGTTTTCAAGTTTCATATGCACATGTACAATTAGCAAAAGAAATAAATTTACATTTAAAAGAACTCTAAATTACTTTCCAAAGAAACATCCGGAAAATGCTAATAATTGCCTTGTGTCATGGATAGCAGTGACAATCGAAACGGTGAACATCACGGCTCATCATGTAGGATGTAATGAAACTAACTACATGTACGAGAGAACTACTGGAGAACTGACAATTTGACTAACAATAGACGAATGTTTAACTGTGACAATAGAGGGATCAAAACGCACCAATTACTGATTACGAGTCTTCATAGCCAATAACATCACGGCTTAACTGACAGACGACCAATAACATTGCAACATAATTGACCAATCAGATCAATAACCAGAGTATAATACCATCAACTGACGTGATACAACTCACTTTGACTCTGAAGATGACTACCGCACAAGTTGTTGAAACTTCAGTCACTGTCAACATCAACAGTCCTATTCAGGACTACGTTCACCCGGACGATCAAACTCAACCTGCTTTTGAAATGACTCCTGGGTTCAAAACTTTCACAATTAATTATCTTACTTGGTTTACAACATCACAGCAACTTTACATAATCAAGCTTAACTTGCAATGATGATCTTCCTTGGCTTAACTTGCTTCACAATATCATGTTTGAATCCCGCAGTCGCAAAGACATATGTGAGCATTCTTGATTGGCTAGTTTGTTACACAGTATAATGTGATTAGCCTGATTTGAATTAAGCATTGACAGGCCAAACACAACTAATTTATATAATATATAGCTTGTGAGAAGGGAGATTGAACTTTTGATAGTGCAATTAACGTGACCGAAGAGTCAGCTTGAACAACAGTGGTTTTTCTTGCTCTCTTTTTACGTAATTTATGCAGTGCATGGAGTATTCTACACTGAGCAAATTTTATTTTACCACTTTGAGAGTCGCATTTAGAGGTTGAGGAAGCTAGTCTGTTCCATACATATTGAGCAATTAGTTCCTATGGTTTATGTTTCTGCAGATGTTTTCTGACACTGGATTTGATCACAAATGCAGTTTACCACGAAATGATTTTCTTTTACCTCTGTTTAATACGGTGGCCCACAGGGGACATGCAGCAAATAAAAAAGGTTCTGCAAAACAAATAAACTTGCTGCAAATAAAAAGTAGTTGCTGCAAATAAAAAATAATTGCAGCGAATACAAAAAATATTTGTTGCAAATAAAAGCAGTTGCTGCAAATTAAGTGACAGGAAAGTATGTGCACGTATTGATGGGAAGAGGAGGACTCAGTATAGTTGTATCCAGGGCCCACTCACGAAATGCTTGGCCTAATCCTCAGTGACAGAAAACTTATTTGAGTTCGATGGAAACAATTATCTTCAAACCCGTGGAGTTGCATAGGGCATAAAAACAGCAGTGTCCTTTGCAAATATCTACAAGGCAGAGACTGAAACAAACCTAATCCAACATAGACATACCAATGAAAATGTTTCATTGATGACGTTTCCTTTCTTTGGGACTGTAACAGAAAAGACCCAACTTTTTCTTAAAGAAACTAACAAATCCCATCACAAAAATGAAGTCCACGGCCGAAATATGAAATAACGAAATAACTTTCCTTGATACAACAGTTTTCAAAGGAGAACATCTCACAGAGAAATCCATCTTCATTGGACATTAAATCCCACTATAAGCCAACTAAAACCTTTCAATATGTACACTTTACCTAGTTCTACCTACGAGGGTAAAAAGAAGTTTCATTAAAGGCGAAGAAATAAGATTGATTAGAAAAAACTCCTCAAAAAAAACATTTGAAGAGTGCCTTGTGAACTCGAAGCACACAAAATCCTAAACCGGATATAGAAAGGTCATTATCAGGGGTCAACCTTGATTCAAGACACTGATAGGGGCTAAAACAAAAACAAAAAAAATAAGGAGAGACTATTGCCTTTCATTACAACATATAACCCAACGGTACAAGACCTTAAAAAGACGTTGACGCAATAAAAGCGAATAAAGAAGGGAAAGCGAAATTTGTGACTGCAGCTGTGTTACTTTAAAACCACGAAACCATCTCATGCTTTCTATGCATGCCCCAACTTTTGAAAATAATATTTTCAATTTGCATCTGTAACTGAACGCTGTGAACTACGCGGCCTTTAAAAAGTCTTCTGGAAAGATTTAGCTCATAAGCCAGACAGTGACTAGAAAACGAAGCCACTAGCTTTAAAACAAGTTTCTCAGCAAAATTCCCAGGAGAGGAATGGGATAAAAAACAAAACAAAAACAACGACGAGCTGAACTAAAAGGATAACTATTACAAAGGGGACTCAGGAATGAAAAAAGGTTTAGCAGACTGCTTTGAAGGGGCTGGTCTCACTTGTCCGTTTTCATCAGCCAGCTCTAGGAACTCCCGCACCTGGAGCTGACTGATGCCTGGCCTTTCCAAAGCTTCCAGCAAGGCCTGTCCCTTTGCCGTTCTTTCGCCTGTCACCATCTGTGCCTTCTTCAGGAATAGCCGCCTTCTGCAAATAAGACCTGACTTGTTATCTTCATTGTCAGAATTGAGAGGTGGGATAACAGCTTTAGTAGGTACAGGGGAGATTTCTGATCGTTTTTTGAGATATTCTCCTTGTTCCTAATGTCATTGGGGAAACCAGACCTGATAGGTTTCTTCACTTCCTCATCTCTCTTTACCTATGAAAGATTGCAAGAAAAAGGTATGACAGAGAAAACAAAATTAAATAAGGTGACTTGACTGGATTTTTTAGGGGGGATACCTTCCAAGTTTAAGCATTAACTACATCAGCATGAGTAAAGATATGGGAAAAAGGCTACCACAACATTACTGTATTATATCAACATGAAAATTTCTTATTATCTAGGTTTTATTGCAAATGGAGTCGCCATGGCAACCTAATGAAACGAATATGTTTTTTATTTATTTTTGTGTTTCTCTGTACCAGGAGTGTTTTTAAGAAATGGCTTAAGGGAGTATGTACCTGCCATAATTGCTTCAATTATGGCAAAGTTTGAACAAATTCTGAGAGAGCATTTTGGAAATATTTTGAAACAAGTTTTAGAATCATAAAAACAGTGAAATAGCATGCTATATATCCACACAATTAGCTAATATGTTAAGAAAATGTTAAGCTTTCGAAGCAAGGTTTCATCTCATAATGATTTGATTCCATTGAAAACTGTGTACAAAAAAAAAGAGGGGAATTGCTCTGGGCGATCGCAAGTGAGAAGAATTTTATTAACCTGCATTCAGCTGCTTTTGTTACAGTTTTTGCACATAATTTGGTCCATGCCTACAAATTTCACATTATTCAAAAAACCACCTGACAAATTTTTTCATAGACTTACCAATCTCAAGGTCAATTGTTAATAAATACACCCTGCAAGTTTCAAGAACATTGAAAACAGTGAAGGCTTTTAAAAAGGGCCTCGAATATAACCAGCGTTGTCAGAAAGTTTTGAAGTAGACGATCACTGAGTTGTCAAAGTAAGCAGCCAGTCCAAGGATATTTTATTTAAAAAACGTCATCTGCAAAGAAATGCCAAGCAGAGTAGCTGGCCGATACTAACCAAGTAGGCGGCACTTTTCACCGGAAGCCGGCTACTTTTGACAACCGTGTATAACCAAATTTTCCCTTAGTGAGTGTCCTCATTATTCAGAGGCATTGTTTTCAAGTTTCATATGCACATGTACAATTAGCAAAAGAAATAAATTTACATTTAAAAGAACTCTAAATTACTTTCCAAAGAAACATCCGGAAAATGCTAATAATTGCCTTGTGTCATGGATAGCAGTGACAATCGAAACGGTGAACATCACGGCTCATCATGTAGGATGTAATGAAACTAACTACATGTACGAGAGAACTACTGGAGAACTGACAATTTGACTAACAATAGACGAATGTTTAACTGTGACAATAGAGGGATCAAAACGCACCAATTACTGATTACGAGTCTTCATAGCCAATAACATCACGGCTTAACTGACAGACGACCAATAACATTGCAACATAATTGACCAATCAGATCAATAACCAGAGTATAATACCATCAACTGACGTGATACAACTCACTTTGACTCTGAAGATGACTACCGCACAAGTTGTTGAAACTTCAGTCACTGTCAACATCAACAGTCCTATTCAGGACTACGTTCACCCGGACGATCAAACTCAACCTGCTTTTGAAATGACTCCTGGGTTCAAAACTTTCACAATTAATTATCTTACTTGGTTTACAACATCACAGCAACTTTTAGAAAGAGTTGCTGTGATTTTCTTAAAAGATTAGCTAGTTGTGTGGATAGCATGCTATTTCACTGCTTTTATGATTCTTAAAACTTTGTTTGAAAATACACTGTATTTCCAAAATGCCTTAAATGAGGCAATTATGGCAGGTACATAATCTCTTAAGCGTTTTCTTAAAAACACTCCTAGTACAGAAAAACACAGATAAATAAAAAATGTAATGGTGTCATTACATTGCCATGGTAACTCCGATAATTGCAATAAAACCCAGATCATAAGAAATTTTCATCTTTATATAGTACAGTTGGGGTAACCTTTTTCCCATGGTTATTTTTACTCATGCTGACATAGTTAATGCTCAAACTTGGGGGGTATTCCCCGTAAATCCAGTCAAGCCACCTTAATTCTAGCTCTGTTCAATAAACTCTTAAAATAAAATTTTTAACAATTCCAAAGGCAACAGTTACATGTATTACAGTACCTCACTGTAACTATTTTCTTTTTCTCTTTTTCTCTTGAAGGCATGACAAGTCATAAGAGGCCCAGTAGACGTCAAATATCTGACATAAAGAGGACATAGCTTGATCATCTTGTTTTGGCTTGAAGGTGTTTTCTAAAATAACATAGAAGAAATCCTCACATCAGATGTTGCCAGAGAGTTTCTTTTTCTATCTGCTGTTACTCACTGCCATAAGAGTTTCTGAGTTGCAAAACACACCCTAATACCAGACTCAGTTTGATTGGAGGGGGAGGGTGATATTCTGCAGATTAATTTTGTTGGAAAAAAGTTTTGTAAGAAAATCTCTCTCTGATCATGAGCAAAAAATATAGTATCAAGGTCATTTCATGCCAACATAATTACTGAAATTTGTTTAACACCTTCTGGTAGTTTATTATTCAAAATCAAGACAAACTTGCAGAAATTATATTCTATACCTGATGCTATATGTGGTGTATGTGCTGTAGCTGAAATACATTCTTGTCTTAAATCAGAGCTTTCGTCAGACTAATTTTTCTGTGCTGGAGACTTTCATTCTATTCCTCTAAACTACAGTGAACAAGTTATTACTAGTGTTATTGTAATAATAAACTTTTAAGAGTATCCTTTCACTAAAATCTGTTATATTTGATTGTTGCATTGTCAAATAGAAATCCATGACAGAAAATAGCATTGTGTACATATTTATGTTGCAGATTGGGTTCTCCCCACTTTGTTCAGGTACAGCAGATAACAAAAAGTAAATACTTTATGGAAAATGAATAAGTTTGAGGGCATTTAAAAAAGATCATTATTTTCGATTCAACATATTTTGCTTTTTTTCATTGGTTGCCCATGGGAAAATTTAACCTGAGATCAGGTCCAATTTTAGCGGTTCTCAGAGCATGATCTCAGGTTAGGGAAAATTGGAATTTTAGGTGACATCTTTACTGCCTCTAAAAATATATTATATGGCCATGGTTTTATTTCCACTCGAGGGGTGTAACTTGCAGGTTGCAGGTCAGAATTTGGAAAAAAAAATGTCCTGAACGGTTTACAGATCTTCCCAAGCTCTTAAAAACAGAACATTACAATGATGTCTTGGTGATATCATATTCTTCACAGGGTCACGCAAAACCGGAAATATCAGATCTCAGTTCTATAAATTGATTCTTTAGTCCAAGGTCTTTCAAGGCAAGAAGGAAGGTTTTAAAATTGTCAGATCAGCTGATCTCATCACTCCTGCCAAAGCTAGCATATATAGTTAAAGAAAAGACCGGTTCCTCATTGCTATCATTGTCTGCCGTACCTACGATAGAAAAGGAAATTACACAGCCAAGGTGACCCAATTCATAAGTGCACTCGACTAAATGCACAATATAGTTTCATCTAAGTTTAAAAGCAAAAACAAATTTCACTGAAATCCATGTTGGATGGACGTTGTGGATAGCCAGCACCATTCGTTATTCTTTTTTTTTTTTTAAAGTGTAAAGCGACAAGACAAAACAAAAATATATGATCTCGAATTCCAACTGAGCTTGAGAAATTCTGATTTGTAGTGCAGTGTGGTACTATGGCCAGAATTGAATTTAAAACTTACCTCTTTGTATAAAGAGGGAATCGCAAAATCTAACTCCCTCCAAACAATTATTTTAAACCTTCCTTCTTGCCTTGAAAGGTCTGGAACTAAAGGATCAATTTACAGAACTGAGATTTGCAATTTCCAGTTTTGCATGATCCTGTCAAAAATATAATATCAACAAAACATCAGGGGCATAGCTAGGAATTTTCAAAGGGGGGATCACACCGTGTCACACCCAGGGTACTTTTGCATGTAGTTTGGGGTGTGGATTAATTTATGGTGAGTGTTTTGGACGTCTAAAAGTAAGTTGGGCGTATTTCTACCAATGATAATGAGACTGTTGTTGACGGTGACTGATCAGTGGAATAGCCAGAGGAGTGTTCGAGGGGTTCCGGAACCCCCCTTAGGCTGCAGCACTGGGTATAATTTTAAGAGGAATAAGATTTTAGCTTTTAAAGAAAATGAGAAGAAAAAAAAAATAAAAAGCATCCCATTCTATTTCAAGGGTTACATATGTTGAAGTTTAATCAGTCTTTGCAGTAGTCTTTTTTACTTTAATTCTATTACTGTGAGGAAGATCATACGTGGCCCCCGTGTATACAAGCCTGCAATGTGTGATTCAGCACCTTTGTTGGTTTAGATTGCTTTCATTTGCATGTTGTAATGGTTTGACTATGAGAGAGCTTAATAGAAACTCGGTGGAGGCACAAAAGTGAAAAGGTAGAATGAAATCAGCCTTGATGTTTGCAAATCAGTCTGAGGAAATTGTCTGAAACTGGGGCACAAACACTAACAGCATGGCAAACTGTCTAAAACATACAGTATTCAGGAATTCATCATATGCCATCCAGGTTACCACGATGCACTGCCTTTTCCTTACATAAAAGCTACTCAGTATCAGGCTCCGAAAGCGAGACACCAATGTCTATTAGGATACCATCAGCTCTAATTTTCATGTGGCGGCTTTTTTGTTGGCAGTGCAAGCGTTTCAAAGTGGAAAAAGACCTTTCTAGCAGTGCTGCGTATTTCAAGTTCTACGTTACTTAGCCTGCGTAGCAGGCGCCTGGAAGTAGTGAGCCAAGAAAGAATGGGTGCGCGAGAAGGAGACAGACAAAGGGTCTTCCTCTCCCCTTGCGTGTCTCCCTCTTGTGCGCCCGTCCTTTCTTACGTCCACTACTTCCAAGCACCTGCTACGCAGGCTACACATTATAACAAATTACATCAGCAGAACGTGAGGGACGGCTTAGCTCATTGCACAGACTTAAAATGCAATTGGCGACGCCCATGAATGAATCGAGAGTCTGCTACTCTTACTATGATGAACAAATAAATGCATTATGGACATGGACCCTGAGGCTAACAATTGACACCTTTACTCCGAAGCGTCCACGATGTTTCCTTCTTGCTCATACCCTAACAGAGTAACCAGCAAATCACAGGACTACAGTGTGTGTTTTAGTGTATTCAATGATAATGAACATATATGTTGTAGTTACATTTCTATACCCAAAAACAAAAGAAAAACAAAAATTACCTGAGATAACAAATTAACGATCTACAACATAAACACTATCTCTTCACTGGAAGCGAAAAAAAGCTAGCTTCATATTGCAATGTTATTAGAAATTTGTGCTCAGAATCACAAAACGAAATTTCAGACGACCTAAAGTATTAAAACTTTCCAGGAAACCCTCTGAAGATTTATCGTCAATCTAGACAAAAATACCACATTAGGAACCCCTCTATGCAAAAATGCTAGCTACGCCCCTGCTGATGTTTCGACAACCTGTGCGATAGTCATCTTCAGAGTCAAATACTTTTTGTATTACTGAATTAGAGTCATGGCAGCAAAAAATCGTACTTTTAGCTTGTAAAGTCCTTGTTATGTAAGCCGTTCCTTTACAAAAGATGTGCCTTTACCTTTAAACTCCTCCATCTACGTTGTCAGCCAGACGATGAAAACATAATAAAATGTAAAATTGACATTTGACATACCCAAGCAAAGGTCAAATTCACAATTTACCACAAAAATAGTGCGTCAAATACCCGGGGTGGGGGGCTGGGGAGATGTTGAAATTTTCAATTGATCAGCACATAAGGTTTATGCTTCATTAATATGCTTTTATTATGAAAAGATTCGTCATTTGTAAGGAACTGAGGAGTTCCAAACCATTTCATAAACGAACCTAGACTTGCATAATTATCATGACTCGGATAAGTAAATGTTAAAAACTGCACTACAATACCAGCTCTAACACATTATAATGAATTGCCAACTGGTCTACTTGCATGTACTTGCATGCAGTGGTGCGTATAGTAACTGTAAGTACATGCAGATAATAAATAGTGGTATTTTCCTGGTTACTTACTTTTGGACCAAAATCTCAGGCAAAAGACATCTCTTTCTGAGGGATGCCAAAGTCCTTCTGAGGGATTCCATTTGCAACACACCTCCTTCTAAGGATACCAAACCCCTTCTGAAACGTTACCTTCGGAGGGACGCCAAAATCCTACGGAGAGATTCCATTTACGAGTTTCAAAATAGATAACTCCGTCGATTCTTCCCCCGGAGGAATTCCAAATTCGCACTTCAGGTTACGTTTTTGCTTTCTTATGCTCTGATTTAATATCGAAAGATTCCACATTTTCAAGGAACAGTGGAATTTAAGATAATTCCATATGCCTTTTCCTTGCCGTTCGAATTCTTTACTCGTAAATTCTTTTAGAAAGTCAATGATCGAAAGATGCGCCATCTTGGCCATTATCAGGCAACTCTTGTTTCTAGTCCCCCTCGATCGCATCCTTCGCGTTCCCAACAGTTCGCGTTACCTGATCCTGTAGCAAGCTCACTTTGTCAAATCTAATTGACTTGTTTCACTTCTCCTGTAGTATAACAACGAACTAACATATCGAAATTCGGGAGCCGGACGAATAGAGAACGCATATCGCTACCGCCATTCGCTACACAGAAATTGTTATACTGATTTATCTCAAATACGAGTTCGCTTTTAAAAAGAAATTACGTCATGAAGCGATGCAGTTTTTGATCGATGATCGGACTTCACTAGTCTTTTCTCGCTAACCAAATAATTAAGATTACATACCACATTTTCCCGACCTCTTATACAGCTCTCCACTACGAAAGACTGATGCAGTAGACTCCGTTTCACACTTTTCCACCTCGTTCAAAATGATGACAATTTTTGACCTGGCGTTACGAATAGAAAAAGTTCTTCTCCAGGCATTCGAATCTATTCGAATCTAATGGATACAATGGATTCCATTGGAACGCCTTTTCACCCCCTTATACAACAGGAATGGAATTTTTTAAGTCTCTCACGAATAGAAAAATGTACTTTTCCCTCGGAATCTATTCGTTTCCAATGGATCCGATGGACTCCATCGGAACGACTTTCCACCCCCTCATGTAACATGAGTGGAATCCATCTAACATGAGTGGAATCATTCTAAGTCTCTCACGAATAGAAAAATGAACTTTTCCATCGGAATCTATTCGTGTCCAATGGATCCGATGGACTCCATCGGAACGACTTTCCACCCCCTCATCCAACATGAGTGGAATCTTATCAAGTCTCTAACGAATAGAAAATGAAGTTTTCCATCGCAATCTATTCGTGTCCAATGGATCCGATGGACTCCATCGGAACGACTTTCCACCCCCTCATCCAACATGAGTGGAATCATTCTAAGTCTCTCATGAATAGAAAAATGAAGTTTTCCATCGGAATCTATTCGTGTCCAATGGATCCGATGGACTCCATCGGAACGACTTTTTACCCCCTCATCCAACATGAGTGGAATTTTTCCAAGTCTCTCACGAATAGAAAAATGAACTTTTCCATCGGAATCTATTCGTGTCCAATGGATCCGCTGGACTCCATCGGAACGACTTTCTTCCCCCTCATCCAACATGAGCGGAATTTTTCTAAGTCTCTCACGAATAGAAAAATGAAGTTTTCCGTCGGAATCTATTCGTGTCCAATGCATCCAATACACTTGGTAGGACTTTACATCACTAGACTTCCGGTTTTCCGATGGAAAGCAAGGGGATACGACTGGATTCTGGTCGACAGTATTGGACAACCCTCTGATTGAGTTTTATTATACAAAAAATCACAAGCCATAACGACCCTTAATGATATATTTGTCCTTTAAACAACATTTAATTCCACACATGGAATAATATTACACAAGGAGGAATTGTGTTACAGCATATCAAAACTTGGTAACAAAATCACCAAGGTAAACAAAATCAAATAATTTTTAAGAAAAACAAATCACATGTTTTTTGGTGAAAAAGAAGTGTTGTCATGTTAGAATGTTGTGTCCAAATAAATCTTGCAGCAAAGATAACTTGGATCAAGTCATTGACATGCAGCAGTATAATCCTTTGATACATCAGCAGTTAAGAGAGTCAAAGATTCAAGCTGCGATACATATACATATGCTACCACTGCAGGGCCACGAGGCAAATCCACAGCGTTGTTTGAATCAAGCTGCATGTTGTGCAACACAACATGAGACTAAATGGCAAGCCCCTGAGAGAAAAGCCAAGAAATATGGTCCAGCAACTATTAGAGAGGCCCACATAGCAGTGCCAGAAGTTCTTGGCCAACTATGCTTTAACACACAGTTGCATTTCGTGGCTGCTGGCATGGAACGGAGCGTGAGCAACAGGCTGCCATCTTCAAAACAGATGGAAGACCGATCTGGTGGCAAGAAGACTTTTAAGATGATGAAAGTCTGAAGAAAGTGCTATATTTGAGTGGTCAAATAAGTTGCAGACTGTCCTTAAGTTTTCCTTGTGTTTTCCTGTTGAATGCTTTTTGAAACATCCACAAAAACGTCACAATATTCTTAAAACAACAACCCGTCATTTTTTTATTCGTTTTTTTTCTTAGAAACAATGTGATTTTTGCATCCCTTTGTGATTTTGTTACTGTGTTTGGATACGTTGTAATGCAAGTCCTCCTTGCACAATCAAATTTTCCAATGTGTGGAATTTGATAAACTTCAAAAGAGAAAAATATAATTGAGGTTCCTTGGCTTATTATATTTTTGTATAATGTAACATCAATCCAGAACAGTTTTGCCCAATGTACTATGAGAGCATCTATGAAAGAACCAGTAAACAGTTAAGAACAAGTTAAAAGAAGGCTAATAGAACATGACCATAACACAGTGAATACCACAATTATATTGTGAAATGTAAAGCAATGAGCTGGATGACCAGCATTATTCATGAGCCGATATGACATTCATATTAGATATATGTAGACTATATTATACAGGTAAGCTGTGAAAAAAGCATTCAGCTATAACTGTTAATGTAAGATCATCAATAAAAACAATAATTCTTGTTTCATTCAAAGTCCCTGGAAAAAAGACCTTGAGAATCTGACCCCACTCCCTTGGACCCCCTTCCCACTGGAATTTCTGATGCCCTCCGTAGGGGGAAGTATAAACCGCATCCTGGTGTGGAGGGTAACAGTTTCAATTTTCTCATGAACCTATGCAGGTATACATGTAATAGCTACTGGAGTCACTGCAAGTTTTTCTTTAAACTTTTTAAACAGTTTTAATATTGTTGTTAAATGTACATGTATTTTCTGCTGACACTAAACATGACACTAAACATTAATAACCTCAGTGAATTGGTAATGATCAAATGTAAACAAAGCACTGGTTTATTCATTAAAAGTTCTTACATATCAAGTGAACTCACTCACTTCAATTCCTCATGAACCTATTGTTGTGGTGCATAAAGCTACCATGGTGGCCAATCATTTACATAAAACTGGTAAATGAGGTACAGTAACACCAGCAAATAAGAATTAACCTACTTTTTTTGAAGTCTGGCAAAATAGGTTCTTGTATTTTGAGGTACTTAGTGGCAATTTAGGCTATGTAGGTTCTTAATTAGGTTCTTAGTTTTTACGTATGAAGGAGATAGATTGTTGATTTAAAATCACAAAAATAAATTTTAACTTTTTAAAGTTATTCATAATAATTGTATTATGTCATATAACCCTAACAAAACTGATGACCAAATTTCTTGTTAGTCTCAATTGCAGATTCAGAATCTGTAAGCCATGTTTTGTTCCTTGTATTTAGTCCACAAAAGAGAAGACATGGTCCCTGCGGGGTTGAACATAGTGGTGACCATGGAAACTTGGGATATAATGAATTGCGGCATGACTCAGGAGCTCGCCACGAATGTTTTGTGAAGAAAGCTTAGGAAAAGTTAATGCAAAAGATTTAGAGCTTTTCCGGAATAGGTTGGTCCACGAATTCTAT